TTGAGGTCTCTGCACTTTGTATTGGACAAAACTCTCATGTTTTCCACCTTTGCAACCTCTCCTCTGCCTTCTAGCCCTTATCAGCTTTCCATCTGCAGGTTGGTCCTCATCTATGAGTCAGCTGCTCACCCCTTAGATAAGGACCTACAAGAAATTTTAATGCAGACATCTGGGGCCCACTACTCAGCAGCTTTTACCTTTCTCCTGCTGCACCAACAGATCCTAACTACTCAAACAGCCCTCACCTCTGATCTTTGCATCCTCCGGAATCTACCTCCTGGCAGCAGAAGTGTCTGCAGAGTGCTCCCAGGCAGAAAGCTGGGGAGAATGAGGCATTTGCCTTGCGTGCATTTCCCTTTTCTCCAGCTTTACAGAACTGTGTCACCTGTTGTCAAAGGACCATGTATTATGTCCATATAGTTTTGTAGTTTTTTGTGTTTTCTTTTGTTTTTGGTTTTTGTGTTTTTGTTTTTGTTTTGTAGAAAAGTAAGATTGGTACCAGTTATTTCATCATGGACAATAGAAGTATCTTTGAAATTTTTTTTTTAAAAAGGCTATTAAAATCAGATAATGTCAGATTATTCCTTATGATAAGATTTTTCTTCAACACAAACTTTGCATATTTTATTTTTATAAATTAAATTCAATTTGTGTGGCCAGAATCTCTAATACATCAAATCTCAATATTAAATATGGGGAAATTAGTGATTCCTTATTTTCCATCTGGATTGAAACATCTCAGAACACTGTACACTATAAAATTTAATTTTTTAAATGACCTTTTGCAAAATTTTATAAAACTGGGTCTATTTTGTTAGGATGAAATGTAAAGATAAGGAAGTTTTCTGATGGGAGAATATCAATGAATAACAAGCAAATTATCCAGTGCCCAGACCAGGACCTGATGCATTAGCACGCTCCATAAAAATTTGCTAGTCTGAGTGGTAGATGGATGGATGGTATTTTAGAAAGCGATGAACCTCTTTTACATACCTTATGCTATTTACTTTGGAAAGTTAATAGATAATACAAGTACATATGCATCCTTTTCGTGGATAAATCAATGTGTATTTGGTGTATATGCATGTATGTTCACATACTTGTGTGTAAATCCACGCACATATATAACAATGGCTTTCTCTGTCCACCAGTGGAAGTAATCATCGAATTAGTGATAAAAGCATCCCACTGCTTGGAAAAGAAATCATTATGATACATTGTATATCTGACTATCAAATCATTTGTAATTGCATTCTTAGTTTGTATTTTTGGAGAGTCTAATACAGACGGTTTGAGGAAATTAATATGGTGGCACACTATTCACAGTACTGAAGTGCCACAGTCAGTTTCCAACCCGGACATCTGCAGGGTTGGTTTTATTTGGGGTGTTACATTGTGACGTTAAACTTAACCAAGTCGATATTACTGAAATTGATCCCTGTGAACATAACTCTTAAATTATGGGATGGGATAGTAAATAAAAGACTTCATTAAAGATGACATTCCTTAGCTGCAGAGATAAAAGCAGGAATAAACTCTCTATTTGGTTTTGACTCTTTTCTGCCTGAGTTCAGCGTTGGTTATTACAAACATTGTGTTTTTATCAAGTACCTATTTTCCTTTGTCGTCACTGGTGGCCCTACCCTGCTGTCTGAAATACAAGCAGCTAGAATTACTTTGAAATTTGATCACTTCAGTATCCTGGGCACTGTTGTTAAATTGATAGCTCCCCCTATACCCAGCAAATCTTGCATTCCAACTTCCTGGACTCTAGAATCTTTGTTCCAAGAGGACTCTGAAGTTTCATTAAAGACATGACGTACAATAGTGCTTTAATACAGTCACTGTATGTTATGTCCAGAAGTTAACAGTTAAGTCAATGTATGATAAAAATGAGAGGCAACAATTTGGTTTTGGTTGTCCAGCTGTGTTTTAATTTTCATCTTATCATCTGACCCTTTAAGATACCAGCATTTTTATTTGGTTGTCCAGGACAGTGTCATGTTTTTATTAAATTGCAGGCAATTGCATTCATAGGGTATCAAGATCTCAAATGCTTTTTGATATGTTGAAAACAATAACAAGGATTATATTATATTTCAAGGTTCTTCTAACTCTGTGATTTATTTCTGTCTGAGGACTAGAATTGGAAATTGAGCAGGACTGGAATTGGAGGCTGAAATGCACAGATGGCATGAGCCAGGGCACAGGCTGATTCACTGAATCACATGCTTTAGCAGTGAGCTATAGCCAACGTTCTATATGTGAGGGCTTTATACGTAGAAAAGTGGAAAGCCATCTTTCCTTTGTATATCTTTATTCTGCAAAATGCTCCCCAAAATTAAAATGTAAGAATATTTTGAAATTACTTTGAATAATAGTCTGAATCTAGTACTTTTAAGTCAAAAGGTAGTCTTCTAAAGTTGTCTTACACTTTTTTTGTGATTATAGCACACTAGAATTTTTCCTGCCCGTTCTATCACTGGTTTCTACAGGAGCAAGCTAGTACGGGTTCAACTTGCTCAGAAAGCATTTACTGAAACCAGTTAGATGCCAAGCACTATGTCAGGTACTGATAATGAATATATTAAAATCATTAGCATTTTTTAGTGCCGCTTACCCTGTATAGTCTTGGATTGTCTTAGAAACAGCCCTGTGAGTTAGTACCCTAGCTCCCTAAGGTCACAGGACTGCAGCGCGGCACCATGCACACAGGCTGGGATGGGCGATTGTGCTGGTATTGCCTCGAACCCTTGAAATGAGAAGGGAAACATGCAAAGGTCTAGTGCCCTTTAGAGGGCAGGCCCCGACCTGGACATGTTACCTGTGACTACTTCATTTAGCCAACAAGACAAGTCAATGATTGGATGCCGTCACCCTCACATGCACAGTGAGGATGCAGGGGTCTTGCCTGCCTAGATCTGCCTTGCCTCCTGCCCAGTCCGCATGGGATCTGCCTTCCTATCTTGGAAGGCCAAACTCTCCACTGGACCACTATGGCTGTCTCCCTGCTGACCCACCACATGAACAGCTTCCTCTTTCACATCCATTTATTGACACATTCATTCACACACAGCCTCCCGAATTAGCAGGTCTCTGTGAGCCACCCAGTGCCTGCCCCATGCCTTCTTCCAGTCTCTGGTTCTGATCCACCATATCGCCACCCTGCATTGAGCTGGGGTCCACGGGCTCTGGCTTCAAGGGAGCTTTATTTGTATCCTGATATTCTATCGACTTGTTATCCCTGCAAGCAAATAGAGCTGTCCACTTGTCTTTTCAGATTGTTGCAGACACTCAGGTTCCTGCTTTTATGGATTCCCTACGATCATTGTATATCTCTGATCTAAACACTGTTCTGACCAAGAAGAGAGGCCCCAACACTACATAACAATTAATGTCTGAAGGAGTATAAAGTTAATACTCTCAGCAACAAACTTCACAAGAGGAGCTGTAGGAGCATCACTGTCACCTGCTGGTGAGGCGTGAGCCAGGCAGAGCACTAGCCAACAGCATGACACATTTACCCTAATGGAGCTTAATGATCCTGGAGAACTCTCAAGAAAATAAAATTTAACTATGCAATGATTGTAACCATATGAGATTTTTATGACTAGTTCAAAATAAAAGCAATTGATATCTGAATTAAAACATTGAAAGTTTACTTGTTAACATTCCAAGTTTCCAAAAGCTGATTTATTAGTGAGGGAGATATGGGCTGAAAAATATGAGACTTTAGTAAATACCTTAACTTACAAATATATAATTAAATTTAGGGGGAAGATTCAAGAACTAATTTTATGAAGGTAAAATTAAAATGGATTATTAAATATAAAAGCCTTCTTGAGATGACTCAGACAATGCAGAAAACCTTTTAACATCATTGGAATATGGAACAAGGTCACGTTGCAGCAAAATGCCATCTTTCAAGCAGAAATATGTAGAAATGCTTTGCCACAGTGCATTTTTTTTAATAAAACAAATCACCCAGTAGATGCAGCCATTCCATTTCTTGGAAAATAATGCAGCACTTGTTTAAATATTCAGAACAGTTGTGCAGACAATTTAAGAAATGTTATCATGCCCAATTGATGCTCCCACCAGCATTCCAGAAGGTTCCATCATTTCACAAGTCCTACTGTTTGCCCTTCACTATCGTGTTCCTTTGGACTCAAAAGATATGAAAGTAAAAATAATTTCTTATGTGTGGGAGCCTTTTATAATTTATCAGTCTCAGACCTTGTTTTGTTTTGCTGCCAGATCAGCCGTGTGCATCTTCCCTTGCAGGCTCCCTTCAATCTTGACTCTTTCCTTCACACATTCCTGCTTGAATGCCACCCCCTTTCCCCCTGACAAACTCTTCTAGCTCAAGAGTTGGCTCAGACATCATGTCTTCTCTGACTCCCTCTCTGAGTCCTCCACGGAAAGCTGTGTCCCTACCTCTGTTGGGCACATATTCACTGTGTCTGGGTCATATTCACTAAGTCTGGGTCATAATCACTATGGAATATCTTGCCTAGCAATATACCTCACATATTTTAAGCTTTCATCAAAAGTTTGGGTAGGTGGGTACCTGGGTGGACGGATAACTGGACAAGCTAACAAGTGTCCTAGTCATTCTCAATGTAATAATGAGGTTCAGACTTGGAGAGATTAGTGGAAGGTGGGGTTGATAAGAATAAATAATACAATGTTCAGTTTAGTTTTTTGTAGTATTTTGCAATGTCTGGATTAAGTGTATTTTACTTTTTAATTTAGAAAATAAAATTTTGTTAAATTTATGATGAACAAATACAAATAAATAAAGTTTCATGGATGGAATTAAGTAGAACCAAGTCTGGAATCTGGTTCTTGTAACTCCCCACTCTATCATATGCATCTATTGCTAAGTAGACATCCACTTTTAACTTATATTAGTTGTTTTTCCCTTAAACTTTTCAGGGATATTTTATCATGGATGCATCAACAATTTGTAGTACTAACAACCTTTGCTTCCCCTTTAGGACATCTGTAAAGCCCTGTGGTGCCACCGGATTGGAAGGAAATGTGAGACTAAATTTATGCCAGCAGCAGAAGGCACTATTTGTGGGCACGACATGGTAAGAAGCCAGTGCTGGGAACAGCATCATGTTTGGATGTTAGTCGTTCAACCCATGCATCGTCCCTCCTCTTGCACGGACATTTTTGAAGTCTGTATTTCTCATAGACGTATGCACCCATGTCAAAACATTGCATTCATTTCATATTGATACTATGAACAGGACTGCTTTTCCTACTTTTAAGAAAATGCAATGATGAGCTATCTGGAATTAATAGACTTAGAAGTCAGGAAATAGATAACAACTACATCCATTTAATAAAGGGAAACATTAAACCACTGACCACCATTTAACCATGTAAAGAACCAGCATTAAATAGTGCTGTTGAAGCCTCAGAGCACCAATTTGAGGTCCCCAGCTGGAACAGGCCATTTCACCCTGTTGTTGCTCCAGAGAAAAATGAGAGAGAGTCATGACCAGCATTAAATAGTGCTGTTGAAGCCTCAGAGCACCAATTTGAGGACCCCAGCTGGAACAGGCCATTTCACCCTGTTGTTGCTCCAGAGAAAAATGAGAGAGAGTCATGGTAGGGAAAAAGAAGAAATATATCTGATAGCAAGTTTAGTATTACGTGGTAGAGAATGATAATTTTGTCACTAAATCTTAAAAGATAAATTATCTTAACACTCAAGAATAATACTTTAATCCCTTTGATTTAACCTATGGTTGCATTTTTTCAAAATATAAAAGACTATTGATGAAGATGGAAATATACTGCACCCAAATCATCACTGTAGCCATTTTTGCTTTTTAGGTATCTGACCTTTTTTAGTGATATGAATGAATAGGGAAGAGAAATATGTACCTAAATATCATTGATCTATTATGTTTAAATTCCAAAATAAATGTGTCTTATCCTAAACATATTTAAGTGTGAATACAGACAAAAAGGATGCAAAATGTTAACAATGTTAACATATGCTTTCAGATTAAATTATTGCATTGCAGACTAAGGAAATGAAGAGAAATCAGGTACAGTTACTTGAGAATAGCACCAGCAGCCACTCGTCCCCGGCACATTGTTGTCAGGCCTCATTTTCTAGACTCTCTCAGTGGTGAGATTGACGATTAGATTCTTGTAGTGATCTAGGCAGCTGCAGTTCAATTAATTCTTGATAAGAATGTAATACAAATGCTTTTAGTTTTTGAAAGAGAAAATCGGTATGATGAGATACTACAGAGGGGAAATTCTAATTGTCAAAAGACATCGAGTAATTTGCCTGAGTATTAAGCTGTATATAATTATGAATCTTCTGCTCATAATTGATTAAGATTTTTTTCAGGTAACAATTTGCAAAATTATGCCTAATTTTTGAAAGGCTGGCAGCCTTTCTGTCATTGCCCTTGACATATCAACTGCAGGAGGCATGGGGTGGTTCTCCAGGCGTCCTACTTTCTTCATGGTCATGTGCTATTTTTTCCTGGGCAATATAGCTGTGATGCTCCCTCAAAATCACCTATGCATTCTTGCTACATTTTATTTACCTTGAAAACATCATTAAATTAATTTTTACTGGTATTTCACATTATTTGACCTTGTATTTCAAATATAGTTTTCTTCCTTCACATTAAAAAGAGTTAGAGCTTGTTAGGATAGAATGGATTCCTGGAAATCACACAGCGGAACATGGGCGGAAGCAATAAAATGTGCTTCTCAGGTTACCTGGCTTCTCAGTGGTGAAAGTGGAACTCACAGCTTCCAGTTCTCATGGAAACACTCCTACCTGCTATCAGTTGTGTGCCTTTGTGCATTTTTGGTCTGCATGTGTACATGAGGTTTATCAGTTTAGACATGTGCATTACCAGAAGTCAATATCCCAATAATTTTTTTTCTTGATGGGAACCTTTTCCCCCCACTGTGGCAGCATAATTGGTTTTGCCCTCTTAAAACTATTACACACACACACACACACACACACACACACACACACACACTATATATATATATATATATATATATAGAGAGAGAGAGAGAGAGAGGAATAAAGCAAATATTACATATACTTGTATTGATGAGAACAAAGATTTTTAATGCGTAAGGGAAAGGAGATACTGATATAAAATCAAATATGCTAAGTAACATTTATAATCCTAAATTTGAATTGGATAAGTTAGTATGAACTAATGAAGGATTTAAAAAAATAAAACATGAGAATAAAAAAAAAAACCCACAAACTCATTGACCAACACAATAGCAAGGACCACCCCTTGAACAGATTTGTAGCCTCTTTGTCCAATTTTCCCAATAAAAAGAGTCAGATCTTCTTGTACAAATGAATGATTCCAGGTCTAGAACAAGGAAGGTATGAGATGAGCCTGAGACACATTGTTGAGTCAGAAAGCCCGGAGATTGGACCCTCGTTGATAGCTGTTGAAGCAGGGTACTGGTTTCAGGAGGGTTCCATACTATTTACTTTACTTGTGAATATCTTTGAAAGTTTTCATTAAAAAAGTTTTTTTTAAATAAATAAATAAATAAATAAAAATAAACAGGAGAGTAAAAGCTATTACCCCTTTTGAGTCTGCAAACTTTGCCAGGTAGTAAGAGCAAATGGACAGCTTGGCATGATCGACACTGCATTTGCCCACAAGTGCCTGGTAAAAACAGAAATAAATTTCCTCAATAAATTAAACATCCTTGCTTTCAGGACAGGATGGCTGTCTTCTGCTTGCCTTCCTTCATGTGGAGCTCCAAATCTCCTTAATCTTCAAACAAGATAGATTTTTCCGAAAATATTTTTCGAGTTATTCACCTTGTTTATTCTTGTTTTCGTATTTGCTATCTCCTGTATTAGAAAGCTATGACCAGATGATTTTTTTAAAAAAAGAAACAACAATAACAGCCAACACACACCTGCCTTCTCCCTGCTCCCTCCAGAGCCCCATCAGAGCCCTGAGAGCTGTCCTGGCCCCTCCTGCCCTCCATCTCTCTTGGGTAACTCACAAGGCCACTGGGCGCCCTGTTCCTGCTGCACGGTCCTCACCGAGCTGAGCGGGGCTGCGGGACTTTGTTCTGCACCTGGGGTTAGGGCAGGTGGTGACGGAAGAGAGAATTTTTTCCTGCCTATAGAATTGAAGAATTGAATGGATAAGGCTTTAGTCCTCAGAATTATTTGTTTTAAAATTTAGTTTTCCTCCTTTAAATAGGTTGTATCAATCCATGTGAAACTGCCATTTCTGTGCGCCAACAGAGTTCAAATATTAGTGGTTTGATGTGTTTTAACCTAATACATCAGTTAATCATTGAAGTATCATTTTCCTCTTATAAAAGCAGCATTTCTTCTCTCGGTAGAACGTGATAGCTCTAATCTTGGAGAGACAGGTGTGGACTTCACGTCACTCCCAGCCCACAGGCCAGTGACCAAGGGCAAGCATGTTCCTCCCTTCCTCCACCAGATGGCCTGGACCTTTAAGACCCTTGATGTCTACACCACATGGCAGGGGAGGAGCCCGCAGCCCTGCACGCAGCCTCAGATAGTGCACAGCGTTTGTGCGTGAGGAAGGTGAACTAGCCACACGTGCTCTAGCCTGAACTGACATTGATGAGCACTTCCCTAAGAAGCAGGAGCCGATAGCATCTCCAGCTCTCATGGGGACAGATGGAATTCCAGATGGATTGTTTTGTATCCTTGGAAAGCTGTGTGACCTCTCACATGCCCTCAGCTAATGAGCTCGGGGCGCCGAGCGCAGGTGCTTTGGAGTGAAAGCACAGAGTGTGGCCAGAAATGACAAGGTGCTGAGCCACGTGGAGCCTCCAGCTGGACGGTTCTACCTGAGACTCACTCTGTTCTGAAAGTGAGATGTGAAAAGCACCTTGTGTCCAGGACAGGTCAGAGCTCCCTGGCTTGGGAGTTGAGCAGTCAGACAGAATGGTCACATTGCCCTCCTTCATTAACCGCGTCGAGTTCCAAGAGCTCAGGTGGTTAAAGATGGTTCTTCTGTTCATCTTCCGTGTATGTGGATTTATAGGACAATGCTAACTTTGGAAAGAAAAGGCAGCATTAAACTGATTTTATTAGTAGTTACTTGAGGATAGGGAAGGTAATGTCTGCATATTGTATAAAACTCCCCACTACTCAGCCTTACAGTAGTGATGAAATGAACTCAGTTATTCACCCATGAGGCACGTAAACTTTTCTGTTTATTCATTTTTTAATTTTTTAGTGGTGCCGTGGAGGACAGTGTGTGAAATACGGTGATGAAGGCCCCAAGCCTACCCATGGACATTGGTCGGACTGGTCTCCCTGGTCCCCTTGCTCCAGGACCTGTGGCGGGGGGGTGTCCCACAGGGACCGCCTCTGCACCAATCCCAAGTACGTACGTCCTGACCTCCTTCCTCACAGATGAGCGGTTTCCATGCCATGAGCTTTCCAAACAGCACGCCTAAACCTGAGCTCAGTAATATCAATTCTCTGCTTCACGTATTTTTGCAAGAAACACTAAGTAGGAAAGGTATTTTGCTCAAGCACTTCTTCAATAATTAGCTCCCCTTGATGTAATTGAGGATACTTGTAACTACCTGACTAGAGCAAAAAATAACAGACCCAACTTGAAATATCGAGGGTCTGCTTAAAACAAGTAAATAAATTATGAGAAAAGTTTATAGAACCTAAATGAATAAGAATGGATAAGAATAATTCTTTCACGAGAAAAAAAAAATCTCCAGTTTTTCATCAGATATGTTTACCTTTACGACAGGTGGATTAGTGGTGGGCTCCTGGAAGATTACAAGAACGTTAGAGGCAGTCACCAGTGTGCTGAAGGGAAGAGGCCTTTAAGTCTTCCCTTTGCACCTAGGTGGGTTTAGACGTATGCAATACGAGTCGTTATTTCAGTCCTGTCTTTAAAGCATGAGGCCACATCAGCGCCCAGCTCTATGCGTCCTCTCAGGATCCTCTTACTCAGGTGTGGATGGGTGAATTCTGTGGGTGAGCAGGGGTGTCTGCTGTTAGTGCCCACCCAGCAAAGGTGACTGACTTTTCTGCCTCAGTCCTCATGTCCTGGCCCGGTCACAAGGAGGCTGGTAGTGGGAAGACGTTGCAGTCTGGAAAGTGAAGTTGGTGAATTTCAGTCTCAGTTCTGCTCTCTCTCAAGAGTGCCATCCTGAGAAAGCCGCCACACCACCCCCATACTCAGCCCCTTCCCATCGAACGTGGAGGCAGCGACCATCACCTGCCTCCTTGCAGAGGGGGGTGGAAGGCAACCAAGGACACGCACACAAGCCCGCCTTCCAGACCCTAACCTGTCTTACCAACGTGGAAAATGCCACTTCCAATAGACCCACATCACTCACGTGGGAGACTGTGCCAGTGAATACATAGAGGCCACATTTCTTAACTGCCCACTCTGAGTAATCGAACACAATCTGCTCCATCTCTCCAGTAAAACTGACTTCAAGGGAGGGCTGAGTAGCTCCTACAGTACGAGGTTTCTAACTGTGAAATACACTTTGCAGACCGTCACACGGAGGGAGGTTTTGCGAGGGCTCGCCTCGCACCCTGAGGCTATGCAACAGTCAGAAATGTCCCCACAACAGTGAGGACTTCCGTGCCACCCAGTGTGCCGAGCACAACAGCAAGCGGTTCAGAGGGCGGCACTACAAGTGGAAGCCTTACACTCAGGTGGAAGGTAAGTCTCCAGCCCACCTCCAGTCACAGCCTCAAGCTCAGTGTCTTCACTCTTTAAAGAATGACATGATTACATGTGGGGTCCAGGCAGACCACATATCAGTCCATGAGGTCAGTGTCACGTACCCCTTTCTGGGGGTTGGTTTGGTTCTGCCTCCCCGACTGCCATGGCATCTAATCTAAACTTGACCAGCTGTGTGGTCAGAAATCCACACTCCAGATAGGGAGCATGTGTTACAAAGAAATTCATCAAAGAAGTGATCAAAAAAATTCAAAATGGATGATGTATTGACATTGGATCAATGTGTTTTTTTTAAATTAAGAATCATAGTAGTTGATGGTGATGTTGCTATAAGCCTGTCACCCATTGAACACATAATTGTCGAAAAATTTTAGTATATTTTGGAAAATTGGATAATTTTTAAGTATTCATATTCAGAAAGTCTAGATATATAACTATAAACAAAGAAGTTTATTTGTGGCATATGTAAGATTTTACTTCCCAGTGGGAGAGAAATTAGTGTTGTTCTTATAATGGTAATAACTTGAATTTGGTAGCTCAAGTGGCATAACTGAGGATTAGTTTAAAGAATACTTAATAATCTCATTCCTTGAAATGGGGAATATCATCCAAGCAAATGGCAGAGACTCTTGGGAAGTACATAAGTTGGGCCTTCCTGTCTGACATTTACTTCACCATCTTAATAGATGCGATGTTCTCGTTGTTGTAGTTTTGTGAAGTTAGTGAATTCTGGAAGGGAAATTACAAGCAATACCACACAAAGCAATGTTCTCGTTGTAGTTTTGTGAAGTTAGTGAATTCTGGAAGGGAAATTACAAGCAATACCACACAAAGCATGTTTGGTTGTGCTTTTACTCCTAAAATGTAAAAATTAAGCCAGTGAGAAACAGACTGCTAGGCAGAAGAAAAAGTTAAGTGAATTTTGAAGTCAGGGTCAAAAAATATGTTTGCTTCTCCTGACTTTGTTAGTCTTAAGTAAATAAGTTTATTAATTATGGAAGCACATACAAAATTTGGTTCTTAGAATTATTTAGTTGGTTAATCAGGAAAATACCTGTAGATGAGTCTGGGCCCGTGAAAATTCCTAAGGCAGACAAAATTTTTGTCATTGTTTCTTCTTTACCAAGAAGAGAATTCTACAAAATTTCACATTAAATGTGTAAACAATAAGACCTTGAAATGGATTATCGAGGAAACAAGTGAACTTCCTATTTCTCTGTGCATCAGTATTTTTTTTTACAATCCATTATGTTTGTAGAAAATATTTTTCTCTGGAGATTTCATCAAAAAATTACTTCCCTTATCAGTTTAAAAAGTTTATGTATTTCATCAAATGCATTAAGAAATTCAGTGACTATTTTACTTATTTTATTATATTTCATTTGTAAGAACTTCATGTATTGCTACAAAATGACAGTGACTTTTTTGCATTTTTACAAAAGAACAGTTAATTATACTAGTAAAGTAATAAAACATTAATGTTTAGTTAAGTCAACAAATATTTATTGAATGCCTACTATGTGCCAACCACCGTGTAAAGAACAAGGATCAGCAAAGGACATGGTAGTGTAAATATTAATAGTAAAGCATTAAAAAATAATAATAATAAATTTAAAGGGAAAAAAAGCACCTAAGAAGGCAACCATAAAAAAATTAGACAACCATAAAAACTGTCTTTGCAATGTATTATTATGTGGGAGTTATTTTATGGGGGAGAAAAATCTATCTAAAATTCAGAGCAAAAACGATCAGAGCTTAAGTATCTTTCTTATTTGTGTTTGTGTGTGTATTTCTTTTTAAGATCAGGACTTATGCAAACTCTACTGTATCGCAGAAGGATTTGATTTCTTCTTTTCTTTGTCAAATAAAGTCAAAGATGGGACTCCATGCTCGGAGGATAGCCGTAATGTTTGTATAGATGGGATATGTGAGGTAATAACGATCGTTCGTTCATTCAACAAACGTCTCCAGACAGTCCGCTTTGTGCCAGGCATGCTGTAGGGGCTAGAAAGATGGGACCCATAAGATGAGCCCCTTACCTTCAAGTCACAGCCGGGTGGGGGAGAGATCCAGCAGAATGCATGTTGATGACTCACTGATTGGTTGCAATGGAGGTGTATACAGAGTGTGAGGAGGAGGGAGAGCTGATTCTTTCTGACATGTGGGTCCGAGACATTTGCAGGGCTCGTGGAGGAAGGGAGCATCTGCATCCAAGCTAAATTGGCCAGGGAGAGTTGGAAGAAGGATGCTGGGGAAAAAGACAGGGGGACATGGTGGTGCAGAAAGCGTGGGTTGGTAGGAGCTGAATAAGGCAGGCAGGGCCTGGGGGCTTCTGAGGAAGGTGAGTAGGGTGTGAAGAGGCTCCCAAAGGGCCATCCGTGGCCAGGATGAGGAGTTGGGATTTTTATCCTCGTGTCGTGTAGAACAAGCATTGGGTTAGGTTGCAGTGGCTGGGCCATAGTGAGGAGAGTCAGTGAAGGTGGGGACAGTGGAGAGCCTAGAGGCCACTTTACAGCTCTCAGCAAGACCCAGCAGCCTAAACTTCTGCTGGAACAGGGTGGGTGAACAGGGATGGAAGAGACAGGCTGGGCAAGAGTTGGCAGCTAAGTGACATAAAGTGATGAGTTGGTAGCCATTCACAGAGAGGAGGGGTAAAATAACTTCATTATAAGCAAAGTGAAGTGTTACCAGATCAAATACATTGCATGTAAATAATGGGATTTTTCATGAAGTTACTCAGTGTGCATTTTCTGTGCGGTCCAAACACCTCAGTTCCAGTTCTAGTTTCCTCTAAGTAGTGTGACCATGGTAAAGTCGGATCGTCTACTGAGTCCTTATTGTCTCCGTTTCTAAGGAGTGAAGATTAGACTAGACAATTCTATTAAGATCTCTTTCAGCTTTAAAATGCTCATTGTCTAACTATTGATTTGTTAAATATTATATTTAGATTTTCTTAATGCTACAGTGTCACAATCCCTTATTTGCAACTCTGAAACCCAAAAAGCTGTGAAACTGAAATCCAAAAAGTTGTAAAAGTGATTTTGGGACCTGCATGTGTTTGTTGGCAAAACCGACCTTGAACTGCAGTGAGACTACCGATCAGACCCAAAAAGCTGTGAAACTGAAATCCAAAAAGTTGTAAAAGTGATTTTGGGACCTGCATGTATTTGTTGGCAAAACCTACCTTGAACTGCAGTGAGACTACCGATCACTTTTATTTATCCTACTTACTGTAAATATGTATGTGTTTTGCTAGTGTTTATTATGGGATGCTACCCTAGGCCCCACTGGGACTGTCATATGCATCTTATGCTTAATATGTGTTACCTTTCAAGAACTCTGAGATGTATCTGAAATGCATCTGGCCCTCAGAATTTCAAACAAGGGATTGTAGACTATAGTTATTTTGTTTCTGAATGGCTAATTTTACATATAGAGCCTTTTTTGTTGTTAGGACATGTAAATCAAGCAAGCATTATAGAAATTATGAAGAGCTCCTAAAATTCTAAGACATTGGACAAATATGCCCTTTACCTAATGTACTACTGGAAGCATTTCCCCGTGGTATCTGTCACTTCTCTGCCATTGCACAAGGCAGTTAAAAAGCACAGTGCCATTGTTCAGTGGAACCTTGTGTGTACACATTGCTTGACACTGAACAAAGCTCTTTATGTCAGCCTGAAATACCCCCATGTCTCTCACATAACAACCTATAGTTTAATTTAGGGCTAAAGCTACTATAGCTGTGTAGCAGTACCAAAGGGGACAGGGTACATTTCACATTCGAAGCTTTCCTGCTTTGGATCTGAAGAGTAGAGTAACAGTCTCACTGTGCACATACTGGGTATCCAATAAACGTTTGTTAACTACTCTGTGTTGGTGAAACTTTCAGCTACGGTGGGGAGGAGGTTTCCTGCATGAGACTGGTGACGTGATTGCTTGTGCTGTCCTTTCTTTCATGAATGGCATGTGACGTGGTGGGTCCTCCAGAAAGTTGGATGTGACAATGTCCTTGGATCTGATGCCGTTGAAGACTCCTGTGGGGTGTGCAAGGGAAATAACTCTGAGTGCTCAACTCACAGGGGTGTCTACACCAAGCACCACCAAAGCAACCGTGAGTACTTCAGAGCTTCCTGCAAGTCCTGGGGAAGGAAGGTATGAACTAGAGCTTCTTAGTGGGAGCATCTCAAGGTACCAGTGAAAACTGCAGGTGCTCGGAGTCCTGAACTGCTTCCGCTGTCTGGTTTCCTGTCTCCCTGGCTTCTCAAGCTTTCTGTTTTGACTGGACATGGTTGCTAGGTTATTTGAATTAAAATGGTTCTTAGGAATAGTGAAAATTACACGAACTCTACTCCAATTAATAAAAAGAAGTCAGTGAGGGGACTAATGTAACTGATTGCCAAAACAGATCTCCCCACTTCCACACATGCATTCTCAAGTTTTGGTTACAAAGAACCGAAGTTGCTTAGGGATTTTGCTTTGCATTATTGAATGAAATAACATATTTTTCCCCACTTTCTTTATCTAGAGTATTATCACATGGTCACCATTCCTTCTGGAGCTCGGAGTATTCGCATCTATGAAATAAACATATCCACCTCCTACATTGCTGTACGCAACACCCTGAAACAGTACTACCTGAATGGACACTGGACCGTGGACTGGCCCGGCCGGTACAGGTTTTCAGGCACTGCCTTCAACTACAGACGGTCCTATAAAGAGCCCGAGAGCTTAACCTCCGCTGGACCAACTAATGAAACCCTGATCGTGGAGGTAGAGGCCAGCCTCTTGGTTTCAGGGGTGCTCATATTGAAGGTCTTCTGGTGTTTTTGCAGGTTCAGGACCATTGGCATAATTTTAAGTACACGGAAGAATGCTTACGGTTACAAAAACACGCATATACTATAACCATAAGCCTTCTTCTGCATACTTAATCCTTGCATAGGCTGAAGGGGGCAGCAGACTTGTTTTCCTCATCTTTCATTTTTTGGTGTATGATTGAGTTGTATTTATGTACTTACATGCATTCCTATTTGGTGGTCTTTATCAATTGATTTTACAAAGTCCACTTCTCTCCTGCAAGTACAAATGGCTGTGAGAAGCAGCCACTTTGGGGAGAGGGGGCGGCTCTGTCTGTGCCTGTGTTTTGGGTGGGATGAGCATTCTTCGGCTGTGTCCTGTGGAAATAGGATCGAGATGAGAACCCAGAGCAAAGCCCATGGTGTTTTGTGGCACCTGCTTGTGTCACAACCTAGCCCTTCGCTGACCACAGCTGTGCAGTCACACGAGCTATGTGTTTTCTACCCATGAATTCAGAGGCTCACAAAATACACTCAGGTTTCTTCTGACAACACTGTCATCCCACAGGATGGGACAGATGGTGGCAGCAGGTAGCAGTTGTGCTAACTCCCTACTTTTATTTCCATGCACAGTTCAAGAGAAGTACTTGGCTCAGAAGCCGCCCCACTCATCCCACAGGATGGGACAGATGGTGGCAGCAGGTAGCAGTTGTGCTAACTCCCTACTTTTCTTATTTCCGTGCACAGTTCAAGAGAAGTACTTGGCTCAGAAGCCGCCCCATTCACCCACACCTTGCTGTGGAGGTGGAAGCAACCTGGACATGGCCACCTGCTTTCTAGGACTGGCAGCCCCATCCCATCCTCTTGTCTCTTACTGGGAGATACCTCCCAGCTGGTCTGGGTGGGGCTCGGGTGCCTCCACACTGCCTGCCTCCACCCTCCCTGACCCTGATCTGTTCCCTTGTGCCCTATGTAAACTTATTCATCCCAAATTCTTTCCTTGGTTATTTCTCTCCCACAACCTAATGCTTTTAGCTTTAGTAATCAGAGAAAGAGATCAGTTGGGTTTAAAAATTAGTGGGGCTTATTAGGAAATTTTCTTGATGGAAGAAGAGTTGTGAAGGGTCAGAATGTCAGAGCTGGATAGCATCTTAGCAGCCATGTGGTGCAGACACCTGTCCCAGGCTTTTACCTGTCCCACAACATCTTCACCAACCAAGACTTGAGCTGTGTCAGCAGGCAGGGGTGGAGTATGCTGCCAGGGTGGTCTGGGAAGGATAGGTGTCTTTGTCTGAATGAACAAAGGACAGTGTACCAGTCCTTTTCTGTTGCTTAGAGCAGAATACCTGAAGCTATGGGCCAGCCCGGTGGCACACTGGAGAGTGTGCTGCTTGGGAGCACGGCGGCACTCCCACTGAGGGTTCGGATCCCATGTGGAGACCAGTTCCCGCTCACTGGCTGAGCGCGGTGCGGGCGCAACACCGAGGGTTGCGATCCCGTTACCGGTCAGTAAAAAGGAAAAAAAAAAAAAAGAATACCTGAAGCTGGGTAACATGTAAAAAAACAGTATTTATTGCTTATAGTTTCAGAGGCTGGGAAGTCCAAAGTCCAGGGAACACATCTGGTGAATGCCTTGGTAGTCACTACACAGTGAGGCAGAGACTCACATGACAGATGGAGGCACACACGAGAGAGAGAGAGAGAAAGATAGAGACAGAGAGACAGAGAGAGCACTTCTCATGTGTTTTCCTTTTGAAGTCATCAGAACCATGGCCATGACCACCCATCAATGGATTATTCCATTCAGGGAGACACAGTCCTCACAATCTAATCACCTCTTTAAGGCCCCACCTTTCAATCACCATCCTGGGATTTCCCACTTTCTTAACACTGTCAGTGGGGATTAAGCTTCTAATACATAAGACTCAGGGGGACATAGTTCAAATCATATCAGACAGTAAAGGGGCCAGGGCTCAGGTATGGGATTTGTAACAGCATGTTAAGGTGAGGATTCCAAAAAAATCCTTCTCAACAAGATCCAACCACCTGATGTTTTCTCATCACCTGATGAGAAAACAGGTGACTGGTCCGTATGACTGGGTTTAGAGCTAGGAAGTGCAGAGTCCAAACACAATTCCATGCACTGAGCCATGGCTCACAGGACGCTTGGCCTGAGTGATCTTTTCTGATAAAATGCACTTTCCCCTGGACTTACAGGGCACCTGCCAGTGGGCAAAAAGCCCCCTGGTCCTCTCACAGTAGAAGGTTCTATGACTTTGATTGAGCACAGATGATATCTAAGTGTTCTGGGTTATTTGGAACTCACTATCGAGTGTAATGGTGGTGCTTTTCAGGTATCGCTTTCTGATTCACTCAGATGCAGAGGATTTGCAGAGGATGCAAAGAAACAATGAGGGAGATAATTAACTGCTCTTGTAAGGTTGCACAGGCATTTGAGGTTTTATGTGGAAAACACACTAAATGCAAGGCAAAAGAGCAGAAGTCTAGATATTTTTCTAAAAATGTGTGATCCTCATTGAGAGTGCTATTCTTGTTTAGAAATTTGATGTAAATTTTGGAGGATGGGCAGTGTTTATTTTATCATCATAACCCACTTTTTGTTGATATTGTTGTTTTAAGTAGTTTAAAGCAACTTAGCATGTATGTATTGATAGAGTTTTAATTAGTTTTATTTTTCCCTCTTCTTGTTTTGTAGCTTCTGTTTCAGGGAAGGAACCCTGGCGTTGCCTGGGAATACTCGGTGCCTCGGTTGGGGGCTGAGAAGAAGCCCAGCGCCCAGCCCAGCTACACGTGGGCCCTCGTGCGCTCCGAGTGCTCCGTCTCCTGCGGAGGGGGTAGGTCCCTTCTCATGCTGGTGCCTGGCGCGTTGAGACCGTGGGCCCACTGTGCTGGTCCGTGTCCTGTCCTGATGAGTAGCCCAGGGCTCCTCCCTGAGGGTGGCTGCAATATTCCCAGAGTGGGGTGTGTGGCTCTGAGCATTGTCACCCCTGTCTTCTGCACCTCTCCACGTCAGGGTGTGACTCTGAGGAAGCTGTCTGGTGTGTTGGTTCCTGATTTAAGATTTTTTTAAAAGGTAATTTGTTACTTGAAATTGTTCACCTGAATGTCAGTCTAATTTTTGGATACATCATGTTGGTGATGAGAAATAGAATCTTTCGTGGAAAGTACAGTGATACAAAGTGAGGTTTTTCTTTATCTAACTAGTCCTGTTGAAAATTTTAACTAGAAAGAAATTTGCCTTAAAGTTGCATACTCAGATTCACCCAGAAAATACAAGAATCTTATGAAAGTTGTAGTAAGAATGACAAAAAAGAACCTGTCTAAAAGAACTTCCCATGACAATAGAGGGTTCCTCTCCTTGGGGACTTCCCTTAAAGTTGCCTGGTTTGTACATTTTTTGCTGGACACGTCAAGAAGCGATCTGACACAAACACAGTCTAGGGTCTTCCTTTAAGCCTGCCTCCCATGATGGTGAGAAAAGTTGGTGTCTCTCTCCTGGGGACTGTTTGCCTAGGTGTTCATCTGTGAGCTGTTTTGTTTTTGTTTTTAGTGACTCTGTGCTCTATTCTGATCAGGGCTCCCACCTCTGTCCATGCAGAACCACAAAGAGGCCTACCTGAGACACAATCACAGCCATGTGAACAAACCTGTAGGGTGCTTTCCAAATGGACTGAGTCACTGAAGACATGTGAGCCATCAGGAATGAACTGTCACAGCCAGAAGGACGGGTGGGACACATCTCATGGATGACCCAGAAACTGTTTTACATACTCATTTGCACATCTGTTGTCTGCATGGACACATGTATTGGGCTTCAATGTGAGGCTATTAAGATATATATTCTGTTTATCAGTAACAAAAATTATCCAAGTGGTTAGAAAAAAGAACTTCAAGACAATAGGCAACCTTGTCATCTTAATACCATAAAAATTTCAAACCCGTGTTTAAATTGGTAAAGCTAGCNGCTGGTGCCTGGCGCGTTGAGACCGTGGGCCCACTGTGCTGGTCCGTGTCCTGTCCTGATGAGTAGCCCAGGGCTCCTCCCTGAGGGTGGCTGCAATATTCCCAGAGTGGGGTGTGTGGCTCTGAGCATTGTCACCCCTGTCTTCTGCACCTCTCCACGTCAGGGTGTGACTCTGAGGAAGCTGTCTGGTGTGTTGGTTCCTGATTTAAGATTTTTTTAAAAGGTAATTTGTTACTTGAAATTGTTCACCTGAATGTCAGTCTAATTTTTGGATACATCATGTTGGTGATGAGAAATAGAATCTTTCGTGGAAAGTACAGTGATACAAAGTGAGGTTTTTCTTTATCTAACTAGTCCTGTTGAAAATTTTAACTAGAAAGAAATTTGCCTTAAAGTTGCATACTCAGATTCACCCAGAAAATACAAGAATCTTATGAAAGTTGTAGTAAGAATGACAAAAAAGAACCTGTCTAAAAGAACTTCCCATGACAATAGAGGGTTCCTCTCCTTGGGGACTTCCCTTAAAGTTGCCTGGTTTGTACATTTTTTGCTGGACACGTCAAGAAGCGATCTGACACAAACACAGTCTAGGGTCTTCCTTTAAGCCTGCCTCCCATGATGGTGAGAAAAGTTGGTGTCTCTCTCCTGGGGACTGTTTGCCTAGGTGTTCATCTGTGAGCTGTTTTGTTTTTGTTTTTAGTGACTCTGTGCTCTATTCTGATCAGGGCTCCCACCTCTGTCCATGCAGAACCACAAAGAGGCCTACCTGAGACACAATCACAGCCATGTGAACAAACCTGTAGGGTGCTTTCCAAATGGACTGAGTCACTGAAGACATGTGAGCCATCAGGAATGAACTGTCACAGCCAGAAGGACGGGTGGGACACATCTCATGGATGACCCAGAAACTGTTTTACATACTCATTTGCACATCTGTTGTCTGCATGGACACATGTATTGGGCTTCAATGTGAGGCTATTAAGATATATATTCTGTTTATCAGTAACAAAAATTATCCAAGTGGTTAGAAAAAGAACTTCAAGACAATAGGCAACCTTGTCATCTTAATACCATAAAAATTTCAAACCCGTGTTTAAATTGGTAAAGCTAGCTCCACTAAAAGGAGGTGTTTAGCTAGAGCCGATATGCACTGTCTGATAAGGGTAGTAAGTAAGAACTTCAAGACAATAGGCAACCTTGTCATCTTAATACCATAAAAATTTCAAACCCGTGTTTAAATTGGTAAAGCTAGTTCCACTAAAAGGAGGTGTTTAGCTAGAGCCGATATGCACTGTCTGATAAGGGTAGTAAGTAAATATTTGCAAATTTAGAAACAAAACAGCAAACTCAATCTGATATTTAGAAAACAGGCAAGTTACCCTTAGGACAAATGGATTTCAGCCATATGTATTCCAGGCTTTAATAATTAAGAAATTAATTTAGATGGTAACATTTAAGTAAAAGAAAATGGTACACAAATGAGAACTTGCATCAAGTAAGAATGTAAGGAATGAATAAAGAAAAATAAAAATGAATTCATAGTTTCTTAATAGCTGATCTAAATGAATGAGGAAGAAAATAGAAGAAAACTGAAAGATTAACAAAAATCATAATAGTCTGAAAAGTTCACACTATGTGCTTGACATACATTAATTCTTCCCATTATAAACTAAGCATAAAATATTTAAGTCATATGCTAGCAAGACTAATGATTCTGCCATTAAAAGCTGTCTAAGGAAAAATACACTTCCCCCTGCACAGAACAACAGCAGGCAAATAGCTCTAATAGCAACGAGAGGGAAATACGTGGGAAATCCTCTCTGGGGATGTCTCCCAGATGAGCCTGCATTGCATTCATTCAGAGAAATTGTTGAACCAACCTCTACTGCATGGGTTTCTCTGTGTGTGACATGGGAAAGTTAATTTCTAACTGTACTTATTTTATTTTTTCCTTTCCCTGCTGATCTTATAACCATCCCCAGGCTTCTATGGATTATATCGAATGTACTTAATTTTATCTCTCTCTATTCAAGGTCCCCTAGTGTTTGATTAAAATAATAATTGAAACATAAAGCTTTATGTTTGTGTAAGGACACTATAAGTTTCAGAACTCTTTCTGTATATCTTCATTTGGTGATAAAAGTATAATGAATTACATGGAAACAGCTGTAGAGGATTATATTTCATTTTAACAGTTTCACTCCTGTTTTCCTTTTGAGTGTCACGCATTCAGAGGAACTCGTGGGTTTCTCAGCTGCTAACAAGTTACTTGTCTCAGTGTCGTGAACAAAGACTGAGTGGATGATTAGTGTCCTTACTAATCACCTAATTATCTCTAAGGAATAATTCTGACATTGAGAATTTCTGGAGAAAATCAACCCCCAATTCATTCCCTAATCATTTTCGTAAACAACGGCATTATACTCATAGTCAGTGAATGTGTTGTTTTCAGTGTTGATGGAACATTGATGGCAAATCAGGGTTTCTCAGTTCGACAACGAGACGGGGTGCAGGGTGTCTGTATTCACCACCTCCCAGGGCAACAGCTACTCTGTGCAGTCTCCCAGTGTTGACCCCGCCTGCTTTCTAGGTTCAAAGACTCAAAACCTAATCAAAGTACCCCTCACTGGCCATGTGTCCATGACCAGGAAGGGGCACTTTTTACAATGGTTGCACAGTGGGGCTTGAAACGTCCTGGATCCCATCTGTTTTGTAGACCCATAAAAGCACAATTTCACTCTCCTGTTCTTTCTCTTTTCTCCCTCAGTACCCCCAGGATTATCTTATTTTGCATACAAGCAAGATGAAAGTAATGAAACATTTATTGCCATTTACTGAGCACCTACTGTGCGTTTTCACATACACTATCCTGTTGAAACCTTCAGCACAGGTTAAGTGCAGGAGGATCACAGGCTCAGAAGCAGCATGTTAGGTTCAAGGCTTGGCTTCAGCAGGGGCTGCTTAGAATTTTTGATACAGTTTTTCGTGTTTGTGAAGTTTAAAGACTTTATGAATATTAATGCCTGGAAATAATTATTATAATCTCAGAATTCTCAGTATTCTTGTCCCTCTTTCTACAGAAATCATAAGTTGTGGGAATTGCACAAGATAACCCAGCAGGTGACTTGGTTCAAACAGGTTTACTGACTCCCACGCTCGTGTTCTTCCCACTACAGCCCAACTCCCACCGAACACATTTCTCAAGCGTTGGCACTCACTCACGTTCTTTAACAAAGATTATCCTACAATGGAAAAACAATATGTTCTTCAACTTTCTGTCTCCCTTTCCTAATATAGCATTTGCTTATTAATGGAAACTGCAGATCCCTGAATGTACATCTGAAATACCCTCAAATAGGAGTGACCTCACGTGGAGGCAGGGATGAGGTTTCTGATCATTCAAGGTTAGGGTTGATCTTGTTCCGTTCTAATGTAAACTTTTCTTTGATCTGTGTCTGGTGGACTTGTCAAATTTCCCTCCATAGTCTTAGTCACTTAGTTATTCACTGAGTGTTAATTACAGTGACTTGTTTCAAGGTAGGGACTTTTATTTCCCTCAAATTTTTTTCTCCTATTTTTTTTATTAAAACATAATTGATTGTAAATATCTGTGGGGTACAGGAGTACATTCATTTGGGTATACACACAGCAGCTGGATTACTGGACTGTATGGCAGTTCTATCTGTAGTTGTTTGAGGAACCTCCATACAGTTTTCCACAATGGCTGCACTAATTTACAGTCCACACTGTTGTGTAGGAGGGTTCCCCTTTCTCTGCATCCTCGCCAGAATTTGTTATTCTCTGTCTTTTTGATAATAGCTATTCTAACTGGGGTGAGATGATACCTCAGTGTGGTTTTGATTTGCATTT